CCCCCCCTGCCACACACCAGGACTTACCTCCATCCCTGTCTATTGATCCTTCTGAATTGCACGGAGTCAGTTCTGCTGGGGTTGGGGGGACCCACAGCCTGCACGTCCCCAGAGAAAATAATCTTCTAGCAAAGTATGAGATAAAGCTTAACCCCTGTCTAATCACAGACACAGGAAGTGGTATCAGAGCCCTACATCATGTCCAAATACAACTAAGACCCCAGGCACAAGCACGGGGCAAATGCATTCTCCTCCCAGCAGGTACAGCTACAGCCATCTCAAGCTCCCTTAGATTTAAAAACGTGGCCTCGGGACTGGCAGGTAGCACGTGGCTGAGGGTGCTGGACTCCCACATGGCTGACCGTGGTTCAAGTCCCAGACCTGGCGGCTTGTTCTCTATCTTTCTCTGTCCCTTTCTGGTCAAAATTGAAAAATAAAGATAATAAAGAATAATTCTTAAAAAAGTGACCTCCTCTTTACTTGCTGGATTGCATTCCTTTGAGATACAGCTGGGGTTTGTGAATACAATAAATGAATAACGTGTGTATTTAAATCAGGTTTTACAATCCCGCACAAATATGGCAGCCTATGCAAGGTGCAGCACTAGGCTTCTAAAGTTTGAATGCAATTGTGAAGTCCAGCTAAGGTGGCCAACATTACACGGCAGCTAAAAGAAAATTCCCACTCACAAATACAACTACTATGTAGCAGAGGATGACATGCAGGGAGCCCTCCTCTCCAGAACCCCTTCCTCCAGAGCACTTCTCAGAATCACTCTAAACGATGAAGCCCAGCTCTCCCCAGAACCACAGGAAAGCTGCTTGGTAACTATGGTAACAGATGCAAAGATGCTTTTTACTTTAATTGAATGCTTATTTAACATTTCAGCCATCACTTTTACTTCCCTAAGTGTTAAGTCTATTAAAGGATGTGATTACGAAATGAATCAGTATAAGGCACTAGATGCATTTAAAGTATCCTAGTTAATGGCTGCCAGGCTCCTCCCAAACTCAGTCTCTTAGTCTAGCAAGTGACCCACTAAAGTTTCAAGTAAAGGGATTTATAATGGCTTTAAATACTCACTTTTCTGACCCACTATCACATCAGCGTCACAGGCAAGACGAGACTGTTTCTCAGTGTTGGCAGCCGAGGCCATCACAGGCCCAAGGCTGGTGGCTTGTTTTCCGAGCCCAGTGTCCAGGCTGTGAACCGTGACCGGCTCAGAACTCACAGGGGACTTGGGTAAGAAGATACCCAATCTTCAATCTTAGATATTACAACGCAGGTCTCTAATCAGCGTGACACACAGAACACACGGAAGAATGTATGGTCCCGTTCTGGACGATTAGAACATGCCAAAGAGCTAAATCACTACCACGTGAGAAGACAGAAATAACACCAGCCACTGGCACACAGGCCAGTGGGGAGAAGTGAGGAAGCTGCTGGTCAGCCCCAGGTTACAGCTGTAAGTGGGAGGCCAGAGGGCTGGTGGAAAATGGAGAGACTACGGGGAATACTCTGTAAGACCTCAAGAACAGAGAGGACTCCAGATTCAAAGCGGTCCTGACTCGGGCCTGGGGAGCTGGGAACGGAAAGCATCTGCTCTGGAAGCTGCTGGCGCCACCTGATGGAACAAGAGGACACAGCCGGGAGACTCGGTTGGAAGCAGGGACAGGGACAGTGAGAGCACCAGGGAAGGAGGGGCAGGGACAGTGAGAGCACCCAGGGAAAGTAGCTTCCTCGCCCACCACCTACTTTGCGCATGCGGAGCCCAAGCTAATGACAGCACACTGTGGGGCCTTGAAGGTACAACCTGGCTGCAGGGGATGGTAACAGGATGACAAGATAACGACGTCTGTTGACATGGCAATGATGCATTTCAGAGAGAAAATACTGATGAATATGAATGTTGATCAAATTTTCTAGAACTGGTTTATTCTGCTAGTCCTTGTCTCCCACTCAATTTAAAAACAGAAATTCAGTTTTAATACTAAAACATCACCAGCATTCTAGGTGTACCAAGCCAGCATATGTGACCAAGAGAGACTACAGTCAATACCTGTCTTTCAAGTTCACAATTTGTGTGACCATAACACAAATAATTTCTGCAAAAGTTCTGCCCTGCCCCCTTTTCCATGTGGGAGTCCAGCACCTGAACTACCACACCACCTGCTGTCTCCACATATCCTAAAATAATGTGATGAAGGCATGGAAAACAAATCCCCACGATCCTTTCTCATGAAGATGTAAAAAGTAACAAAAGGTTGTAAAAATAAGGTAACAATAGAGCAAGTGAAAACGCAACTTACAGGCGGAGACACGCACCTGTTCTGTACAAGAGTCAACAGGTGAGGCTGGGCTCTAGCGAGCTGATAACCAAGTAAATCGACGACTACTGTCTTCATTCTGAACGCGAGTCTATACGCTACCAACTGTACAAGCTAAGAACGTCTTCAGGCAAGTTTAAAGCATTCTTTTCTAAAACTAAAATGACCATAAAGACGAAAATAATGGACTGATCAAGCTTGTAGCTAATGTTAATTTTCTGAGATTGAATCAGAAGGAAAACATTAAGTCAAATCACTAACTTTATGGACTGGAATAAAGTAGCTATTTTACCTTATTCTGAAATATCATTATTTTCAAGACAGAAGAGAAAGCAGGTAAGAATATTGTGTTAAATAAAAAAAAATTTAGTAGAGTTTAATTGAGGAAATTTAAAAAATGTTAAAATGTTTTTGAGAGAGATTTTTGCTATAGGGCAGGTGCACTCACCAGACAGACAGAAAGCGAGAAATCACCCCCCTCCTGGGGAGTTGGGGAGATGCTGGCCACACTTCAATCCCTTCTCAATTTTCCTCTTGGGATTTTGGGCACACGCACGTGCCTGGTGTGAGTTTCAAGTAACCAGTTCCAAGACTTGAACTGTTGTTAGCCACATG